TATATATATAAAACAACACTAAGACATTTCTTTTTCTCAGAAAGCCCTGTGCTCTCACTGGCTTCACGCAGCAGACTGTGCAGCCGCTCACATCCCCTCAGACGTGGCATCATTAAAGCTCCTGCATCACCTGCAGAGCAAAGTTTAGCAGCTCCAAGGAGAAAACCAGACCTTCATGTGGAGTCCAAATCCACCACATATAGAGGCTCTAAATATGTCAGAAACWTGTCTGACAGATGTGTCTGTTCTTTGAAAACGATTTTTTTTTGTTCGTCTTTCAGTCACACAAGATTATTTTTAATGGTTTGTTCATWTTTTGAGGTTTTATCGTTCAGGAATTGCCATAAATATTAACAAATCCACAAAGAATTGATATAGTTTCAAATCATCCTGAAACTGAAATTTTTCCCTCCATCACAGCATTAGACGGTCTCAAGTAAAGGAAGTGAAACACATTTACACCAGTGATCTGATGTTAACTCCTAAAGCAGACTTATGCAACACAAGAATTAACGAGCAGGTCACAGTGACATAGGACAGCATCGAGGTCGTGTACATCAGAGGAAATGAGATTTTATGGCCTTTAGTTACAACGAAACCATGAATGAGTGATAAACTGTCGTCTGAGGATCATGTGAGTTCTAACTTAATAAAGCTGACGGGTCTTTGCAGGAGTCTTGTTATTTTTTGGTCATTTTAAGTTGAAACCACATCAAAAATATTTTCAACTTGTTTCAAATTTTATATTTAAMAGAGGGTTCCCAATAATTACATAACACATCAGCTTCAGTTTAGGATGTATTTAAGCAGTTTAGGTACCAATAAAGTAAATGTAGGACGCCGTAATTTACTTTTACAAAATTCAGGCAACAATAACAAAATAAATCTTCAACGTTCACATTGATGATTTTTAATTACAAAAAGTTAATAACACTTCGTGGCTTGTTGCACTCATGGGCACATACTTAGAAAAATACAAGTAAATCAATAGAAAAAGAAAACTAAAAAAAAAAACATTCTATGAGTTATATTCAAGCATAGGTCACAGATGACACATCTGAAGTAGAGTGAGATTATACTTCCATCACCAAACAACAGGAAGTCACGATGAGAACCTCTGAGCAGCGTTTAGTGTTCTGTTAACAACTCTCAAAGGTCTGAACTGAAACATCCAGGTGCTGAGGTTGACCAAACACACAAGGCATATTCACATTACATCAGCATGTTCCCAGCCTGAAGTATATACAGATTCATTTCTAAGTGTTAAATCTGGTATAAAATGTCTCTGATGTTTAGATGTGAATAAAACTGTTCAGTTAGGTCACTTCACACACCTCAGCTGTCTGTGGACAAACTTACGACTGTGTGCTAAATTTGCACCGGCTGCTCAAAATCCACAAGAGACCAACGTTTCTGACAGATCTGGTCAGCCTGAGCTGTTGTCTGGACTTTTGGCACAGCTCATTCAGTTGTTAAATTTCCATGTCCTCYTCTGCTGAGCTGTTGACCGCAGGGAAACTGTACAGAGGGGAGCTYGTGTCTGCAGGAGGACTCGAGGGGCTGAGTGGGGGGATGGGAGATGGGCAGGGGGTCGGAGGTTGCCGACACGCTGTCTGCTGTTTACGCTGTTTCTGTAACGAGTCCCTCAGTCGCTGACAGAAAGGATCTTCTGGAGGACGCCACAACACCAACTCCATGCCTGAGTGATTCCTGAAAGTTTAGATAAAAAGTTGGTTCAGAATTTGTTGAAAACAAAAGCTTTTTGTCCCGCCCACAACAGAAACCCAAACACAGTGATTCTCTAAGAGTTCGTGTTTCTCTCTCCTCTTTGACGAGAGATTTCCTTTTCTGAATATTCATGCAAGGACACAAGTTACTAGGAAATGAAAGCTGGATAAGAATCCCATACACAGACTGAGCCACAGTTTGAGGGAGGATGTCACTGATGCCACACTGCAGACCCTCCTTCAGACTGTCTGAGATCACCAGCACCGGCCGCCTTGCAGCTGGCTCTACATCAAGATCCTCATCGTCGTCATCATCTTCAAGTGTTATTCTGTGATTCAACAACATGACAAGGTTTGGTTAAAACACCGACAGGATATTATGGGTTTAGGCCACTTTGTGAAGACTTTTTTTTAAAAATTCCACTGATTAAAATTTTAAACATTTGTCTGAAATTAACGCTAAAAGAAAACATAYAAACTCTGTACATGTGACTTCAATAAACTGGACCATTAAAATCTTAATGTAAAATAAGAATTATGTCAAAATGTCTTTGCTTTTARGAGATGATTTGATTTAGAACTGAACCTTTGAAGCACACAAAAATGSTGTGGGACAATAACATTGCCCCTTTTTTCCAGTTTCATTAACTTGTAAAGCAGTTCAAATGAATGAATCACAACAAAAAGAGTTGAACTGCCAGACATACCACACAGCTTGAGAGTTCTGATAAATCAGAAACAAACCCTTTTTGGAAATTAGTACACTTTTAATATTTAAGGTTTTTATTTTTCTCTTTTTCATCATTCTGAAAAACAATAGCAGCAGTTAAACATACTTTTCCTGCTTAGGTTATGTATCGTATCCACAGAATATCTATCTAAAGTAGTAGTTCCCAAAGTTGGGCTTGGGACCACACTGTGTCCTGAAACATCAAGGTGGGATCTTGAAAGTATTTTCAGAATGTCCATTTAAAAATGACTTCTAACATTTATATTGCCTTAGTTGTTACAAGGGTGGGTTTGTGGGTCAAAAGCTGAAAYGTTTGGGAACAAGTTATCTAAAGGATTTGATCATCTCATCTGTCATATTTCTATTTCGTTTATTCTGCTAACAATATTACAACAAAATTAATCTGGGGTCTGATCTCACATGTAGTCAGAGTTGATCTATACCTATCTTCGATCTCCTGCAGTCTCCTCTGAGCTGATTCTATGTCCATGCAGGAACTCTCTGCGTCAGGCTGGGACAGGGAAGAGGAGCATTGTGGTAAAATACAGTTTTCAGGTGCAGAGCAGGACTGTRGGGGAACAAGACTGACTTGCTGTGCAGACAACGCAGGGCAGCTGTTCTCTGAAAGGTCCAATTCAGCCTCAGGCATTAACCTCCTCTTTTTGGCACTGCAACCCCTGATGAAAAATTACCATCAGTACTTAAACACTCCTGTGTGAGTATTTCAGGCATTTTAATATGGTTTTAAGAAGCACTTACTCATCATCTAGTCTTCTGTGCTTCCGGAGCCGTCTTGTCTCCCAGCTGCTGTAGGACAGAAACAACCTTTGGGTAAAAATATTTTTAATGTGTTTCTCTAAAACATCTAGAAATAATTTACACTCTTCAGAACTTCATTGTGAGCTACATACTTGTTATTGTTTGTCAGGTTTTCAGCTGTACTTGGAGAACCCAAGTCAAATTCAGGCAGGCTGGTGGTGGGGCTTGAAAATGAATTCATGGCTGGCAGAAAGCCCAGGTTACTGGATGAAAGAGCAGGATGATGCATGGATACCTACAGCCTGAAATGACAGGTCGAYAAATGCAAACGATGATGATCTGAAAGATCAAAGTAAGAGAATAAGATCAGCTTAAAATATGACACAGTTCTGCARCATCAACGATGCAAGTCCTACAACGCTGCTGTCTGCTTTATTATACCAATATGGATTGTTTATTTCTATAATAGCGGAGTAATGATCGGCCAAAACTTATTTTTTTATACATATAAACGTACGGAAAGCCTTCGAACAATATCGTAGTTCAAGTTAAGCAAAACAAAGACTTCAAACACTGACCTGTAAAGTGCCCAGCCCCCTTTAGCTATTTGTTGTGGTGTCGATGTTTAGCTAGCTTGCCTTCAGTATCCAATGTTTTCTATTAGCATGCTAAAACGAGCTCTAGACGTATTAACAAAATATGCCACACTCAAGCATAAATGGCTCGAGTCCTCTGCCTGGTCCGCGTGTCTTGTTAACTGCTGGCAAAAAAAAGCCCGGGTCAACCTCACGTCGTTGGGTAGAAAAAAAAAACATTGGCCAACTTTCTAGAAAGTGCGTGAGAGACGTTCAGCCACAGAAGTGCATTATGGGAAATGTATTTCGCTGATGGCTACGGTTTTGCTCAAGTATGAGTAAGCGCCCGCCCTAGATTCTGATTGGTTTAGCTTGTCAAGCTGCTCCAGCTTTGGCCAATCACGATAACCTTACTTTTTTTTTTYCCAACAACATCTTGTTTATGTTCACGTTCAGCTGGTGTTTAAAGAGACCCTGACCCCTTTGCTTTTTGTCCTGGTTTTGTCATCTCAAATGTCAGGTCATGTGATACTGAAGTCGTGAAAGCTTTTGTCTCCGTTTCCTGACTCACTTCTGATTTTTCGCTGGACACCGAGGAGGTAAGTATAACAGCAACTSTTTAGTGGTAATATTATTGCAACCCACTGTGTTACACCAATAATAGCTAACCTAGTCTTCCAGTATTCTAGTTAACTGTGTACTGAATGTGTGACTGTATGTTCATATATGTGTTATTACTCTAATGTTTTAGTCGACCTTTTGTTCYTTTTATTAACCAGCTGGAACTAAAATGAAGCTTCTTATAATAATTTCTGGCCTTTTGGCTTTTGTCTCCAGCAAACCCTGTGGTAAGTAACTTTTTAAACACATAAATGTTTATAAAAATAGAACTTTGCTCTCAGTAACTTTCTGGATCATTGTGTTGTAACTTACTCTGGGTTTTCCACAGTGATGAAAGTTGCCACAGAGTTCACCCAAATCACCAAAACTAAATAGGTGGTGGCATTTTTGAGCAGATAGGAAAACAAAATTTAAAACAGGAATTTGATCTCCACCTTTGTAATAGTTTGACTTTTCTTTATCCAATATGCTGATTCAGCTTTTGTTGTTTTGCAATTCTTTCAAGGTTTTTGCTGATTTCAGCACCAGAGCATAGTTGTTTTATATTATCATTTATTTATTTATTTTAGTTAAATTGTTATCATTTTTCTCTCTTTTATCCAGATACAGATGGATCCAACCATGAGCTGCTCATGTCACTTAACAAGAATCTCCTTCGCTCCCTGGATGGACAGGAAGGACTGCCCAATCCCAGCATCCACTTGGCGCTGCGTCTTTCTAATTACCACAGTCTCGTTAAGGAGGCAGATTACCTTAATAAACTGAAAAATGAACTACACAATGACATTCAAAAGTATGTTTTCCCCTCATTCTTTCGGTTCTGAGAATATGATTACTGATTCTCCTTGATGCTCTCTGTATCTCATGTTTATGTTCAGCTCACTCACAAGCAGCCAGCCTGTGACGGGCATTTTGGCGCTGTACAGTCTGGCGTTGAAGTCCTCCTGCTATGACCTCAACACCATCACCTTCACCGTAGGCGACAAGAGCGAGATGCTGCTGACACAGCTGAAGACGCAGATGGAACAGGAGAAAGAGCACATTGCCTGTAAGATTTCCTTTTGCCTTGTTAAAAAAAAGGTCAAAGATCTTTTGTTTCATATATAATTTAATTTTTCTCTCCGTCTCGCAGTCAGCCACCGCCCTTTGACCAACTACTACCAGTACAGCCTGGGTGTGCTGGCTCTGTGTGTGAGCAGCATCCGGGTCAACCACCACGTCATCCACAAGCTCATCAAAGCAGCAGACGACAGTCACTTCAGACATGGAGAAACAGAGAGTATCGGTGAGTTCAACCATGCAGGCCTGGATGCATTTCTCTCATGATAATCACATGAATGTGGTCCATTAAAGGCCTTTCACAGCCTCAAAACCAGTTTCTGTTTCAGCAAAAATCATGTTTTTCTACGTCCTTCCCCAAAAGATTTCATAATTGCTATGAAGTTGTGGAAATGTTGTGAATTTTACCAGTTTTTCAAGTTTTCTTCTGACGAAAGGATTTACCAGATTAATAAGTGATCGATTTTCTCATAGACACCTACGCCATGGCTGGAATGGCCCTGCAGTGTGTGAAGGACTCTGGRTTTTATGTGCACAACCCTGCTGAGCTCGACACAGCTCTTAGCAAGATCAAGCAGAAGCTTCTGGCCTCTCGTCGGGCTGACGGTCACATGGGCAATGAGTTCAGCACAGGTCTTGCAGTTCAAGTAAGAAGTTGTTTGTCTTTTTTTTTTACCGTCACCTGTCTCTGCATCTGCAAAAAACAAAACAAAACAAAAAAAAACATGACAGAATCTAAGTTTTTATAGCTTTATRTACTTATTGGATGTGTTCTAGGCCTTACTGGCAATGGGCAGCGACGTTGCAGACTGTTCAGCCTCAATGGAGGCCATGAGGACGGCTGCTAGAAGTAATGTCTATCACAACCCCATGGCCATTTCCCAAACGCTGCCTGCTCTCCAGAAAAAATCCTACCTGACTGTAAAAAGCAAGCAATGCCTTAATGAGGATAGTGAGTGCTGCGTTGTGTTTAAACCTTTTTGGTTGTAATGAAGGTTTTGTTTGTATCATATCTGATTTTTTTACGGTATTAATCTCCTACAGATTCTCTGGTTCTGGAGCCGACTGAGCCACCTGTGGTCGTGCCGAGCGATACCAAAGTGAATGTGATGGTGGAGGTGGTGACGTCTAGCGGAGCCACGGCTCTTTATTCTGTGGACGTGCCAAAGGGCAGCTCTCTGTTGGAGGCCCTCGATGTGCTGAAAACAAAAAGTGTTGGCTTCACGTGAGTTTATCCAGTGAGCGGTTGTATTCCGGCTTTTGTTTGACGTGCTGCAGTGTGTAATATTTAATGCTGTGTGGCAGGTTTGAGCTGGAGTCTAGCTTGTGGGGACCTTTCTTAAGCACAGTCAATGGAGAGCAGGCCAGGCAAAGTGATCGCAGATATTGGCACCTCTCCTCTGATGGCACGGCACTGACTGAGGGTTAGTAGATTATCAGCTATTAATGCAGAATTACTTCTATCTGTACGTTGTACTTGGATTGGCTAACTAAAATGTTTTTTTCCTTACATCAGGCGTTAATGATTTCAAGATTGAAGCGGCCCAAAAGATCACCATCAAAAACACAAGCTACTGAGGATGCAGCAATGACTGATGGGACTTAGAATCCTTACAACTTAAGAGTTTTTGTTTTGTTTTACTCTGCTCAATGATTGTAATAAATGTTTTGTTCTTCTCTTTAATGGAAATCTTCACAGAATGTTTGCTTGAATAGAGGTGGGAAACTAAAATGAAACTGTGATTTAGGATTACTTTAATTGTCTTTGCTCTGAGTGTTTCCCCCCTATTGGATTTTCTTTGTAACCTTTTAATAAAGATGTGTTTCAAATAAACATCATGGCTATTAATTCAAATAAAATTATAAGTGATGTGAACAACTGAATTGCTCCAGCATCGACAACTTCAATATTTTTTGAGACCACATATATGTTTTTAAGGCAGATGGGATCTGTCTACACAGGGAAAAAACTGTTTAGTTTCAGCCTATTTTACAACCTTTGTCACTCTTTTCATTTTTTAAAAGATTGGTGATTTTACAAAAAATCCTGAAAAATGAAAGTTGATTAAGCCATTTTGTTAGTTGTGTTTTGTTTGTTTATTAAATGAAAGAAAGGTTTACTACAATTTTGTACACCCTTTCATCAGCACATGTTCATATTTTTAGTTTAGGGCAGGAATTAATTGAATTTCTTTAAAAAATGCAATCTTTATGTAACGCTTTATGAGCATTAGACCCAAAACAGTAGACTGTACATTGGCTAAACAAAATGTATTTAATGTGTCTATACCACAAAACATTGATATAAGATAATTTAATAAAAATAAATATGTTGACGCGTTCAACCCACGTGAGCGCTCCCAAGGCTTTTATTGTGAAAGTCAAGAACGTGAACCGGAAATCACTCTTGTTGCTAACGCTACGCTTTCCGCGTCTACTGAGTAGCACTTGTCACCACTTTTTATTTATACATTTTTAGCAAGTTTGTGAGACATGTATTTTATTTAGCACGATAAGAACAACCTAATAAGGTTTTATTTATTTTTAAAACATAAATTAATCGTCACTTTTTTCCCAAAACTGTTGGTTCGAAACGAAAGTTGATGTTACATATTCGTCTGCTAGCTTACGTGACCCCTCGTGGTAATATCTCAGGTTTGATAACTCACGGGTAAATGTGGTAATACTATCTGAATTACGTGATGTATGTTCTGTGCGGAGCTGCTCGCCTCTGTCTTGTGTCTGTAAGACACAAACATCCAGCTTTGACACCGCAGCTCAGGAGGTTTGGACACACAAAGAGGATRAAATTGTACAGCTTCCTTCAAAGTGGAAAAACAGTCARCRWGCAGACAATTTTTAGCGCAGCTATGCCTGAAAACACAAGGTGTTTGTCGTGTTCAGCTGTAGATGCAGCATCCCGAGTGAAGAGGGTTTCTATCGAGGGTAACATAGGTAAGATCAGTTTATATTTCACTATATAACCTGTTTGTGATGTGTCAGTTAATCTGTGTTATAATCCTGCTACATGACAGCTGTTGGAAAGTCGACCTTTGCAAGACTCCTGCAATCTGCTTGTTCAGACTGGGAAGTTGTGGCAGAACCTGTCAGCAAGTGGCAGAACTTAGAGAGCAAGACCTCAAAGGTGGGCAACGATTCATTAGAATACACAGAATCATTCAAGAGTTTTAAAWCACACATTTACTTCCAATGAGCCACTTTCTTGTAATTTTAAAAAGTGGTCTGGATCAATAGTCCAGGCTTCCTGGAGATCTTTCAAAGATTTTATTTGGTCCTCCTCGGCTGCCATTTCATCCATTTTCTGTCCAGTCGGATTACCTGACCAACATTTAGGCAGTGTGTGCTTAAGTAGAGGACAAATGTATGTCAGGCCGAAAAGAAGATAAAGAAAAAGTACCTGAATATCACACCTAATATGTCACTGGACACAAGAGATGCGTCATCCTTCAGTTGATCATTTATGTTTTTGGGGTAGCTAAGAATCACTATTATTTTATGCAGTTTTTAAATTTGCCTGGGGGTTGGGGGTACTTGTTTTATAAAAACATAAATTTACGCGACTCACCTTCAATTATGATAATAAATTTACTCATGCATGAACATTTAATTGCCTAACTACATCCTAAAGTTAAGGACTCCTCATGATAATTATCAATAATAATTTATTGTAGCAAATTATTATTAATAATAAGTGATTAGAACTATATGCAGCAGATGGATCTGAGTCCAGAGTTCTCAGTTTGAAACCTTCTGGAGCTCTTCTATATGACTGAGTGTGGATGGTTGATTGTCTCTGGAGACTGGGGACCTGTCCAGGTGTCTCTGGTGAACTGGAGACCTGTCCAGGTGTCTCTGGTGAACCATGCTGTGGCTTCACCTGTTACATTTTCTTTTTAAAAAAAGAAAAAGTAGCTTGCAAAGCTGTCGCATCAGTGCTACGTGATTAAAAAAAGCAGTTTTCATTGCGCGTCTAATCACACACACACACACACACACACACACACACACACACACACACAC